TTTTATACTTTTAAAATACTAGGTGGTTTAATCTATTAATAAATTAGACTTTTAATTTGATTAACTTAAACCATATAATTATGGATTTATTAATTATCTCTTTTAATTAAACTCTTAATTAAATTAATAAAACCATAAGGGTGTAATTTGAACTTTTCAAAATACTAGGGTTCTAGAATTTAATATTTCAAAATTAATACCTTTTAATTGAATTTTAAATTCCAAAATTTGAGGACAAATTTTGAAACCTTTCAAAAGATTAGGGTTTAACTATTTAAATTTCAAAAACCAAAACTTTTAAGTTCAAATTTAAACTATAAAACCTAAAGGGTGTGAATTGAAACTTTTCAAGCTTACTAGGTCAAATATTTGACTAATAATAATCCTATAATATCCATATTTAACTAAATCCATTAATTTTGATAAGGATAAACATTCCAAACATAAAAAATCGAATTTTGGCAAGAAAAACAAGTTTTGGAAGTAATCCTCAACAAAATCTGTCCAGAAAATCGAAAATCCCGGCTCCAGACCCCTGGACTCATCGATTCCACTATGGAACTCGTCGAGTAAGACCTACTCGTCGATTCCATACATGGACTCGGCGAGTCGGCCAGTCAGAAACAAAAAATTTCGATTTTCTTGATCTTTGGTGGTTCACTTTTGCATCTATTCACTAGAAAACGACCTAGGCTCTGATACCACTGATGGGTTATGAGCATTACATCATGCCTATGGTGTACATGCAACCCTAATTGCTTTGATCTAGGTTTTCTACTATGAACACAACAACATTGAATACCAAAGCATAAACCCTAGATCTAACATGCTATTATCGAAATTGACATAAGATTAGGGTTAGAAACATTACCTTGATTGTTATGTAGCAATAACAATCACAATCCTTCTTGATCTTGAGTTCTGAAAGCCTAGTGCCTCAAATGTTGCACCTCTAATGGACTCACAAACACTCTATGCAAAGGAAGACTTGGAGAGGGAAGGATTTCGGCTAGGGTTTCTCTTAGAATAGCTTAGGCCGAAAATCCTTAGTCAAAGGGTCTTTATATAGCTGTGGCTGCTAGGGTTTTCAGGTGGAATCCCTAATACCTTGCTTAGGCAACAAGCAACCCATGGACTCCTTCCTTAGAGCCATTGGACGAAATCTTATGGGCTTCCCCATAAATTTCGTCCACTCCACTCTATGGAGTTCATCAGCCCAATTATGCAACTATCAATGATTTGCACAACTAGTCCCTCAATTATTAATCAGTCCCTTTAATCCCAAAACTAATATCAAATTAATTTCTGATTAATTTCTAATTAATAATACGATTTCCAAATAATATATTAATCTCATAATATATTAATAAAACCATTTTGAGTACCAATTTATTATTCATATAATAAATCATACTCTCATAATCAAAACAAGTACATACCAAAAATAGTTATGGGCTTAGACACCTAATCCAGCAGTAATTTATGTGTGACCGGAGGGTCTTATTCGTGTTATTGGCTGGAGGGTCTTATTTACATTATTGACCGGAGGGTCTTAGTACATTATTGACCGGAGGTTCTTATTTGTTTATACAATGATATGTGTTATTATGCATACTGTCTTTGTGACTTATGGTGTTATATTATTCTGTGTATATGTTGATCTTATGTGCCTATACTGAGATATGTGATATTATGCATTCAATCTTTGTGATTTATGCTGTGAAATTCACTAAGATACTAGACTGGAGGGCCCAACCCGAGCCGTGAGACCAGAGGCTCTTCACTGAGACCGGAGGCTCTTCACTGAGACACATGACCAGAGGGTCCTTAACGAGATATAGCCATGAGAGGCTAATTATTTGTGTGTGGTATTTTGGGAAACTCACTAAGCTTCGTGCTTACCGTGTTTGTGTAAATGTGTTTCAGGTACTTTTGTAGATTTCGGGAAGGCGAATGCATGATTGTACACACCGGGTAGAGATTTTTTTTTGAGGATTCTAGGATATTGTTAACCATTTTGTTGTCTTGTGTTTTGAACAACTTATAAATTTGGGTTTGAGAAATGTGAAATTGTGTTTTGGGTGGTTTTAAAAATGAAAAATTTATTTGAAAATTTAGAGTGTTACATATTGTTTATGTTTAATAATTATGTTTTTTATTTAATCTAATGTTAACAAAAATAAATAAAAAATAAAAAGATAAATAATGTTGAGTGGTAACAATTTCCAAGGGTTAGTGGTTTGGTAGTGAACATGTAGTAGATCTGATGTAATGCTGAATTGGCAGCACTTTTCTAGTAGGTTGGTGGTGATCATACCTCTTAGCCTAATAATTTTCAATGGTTTGTTGTGTGGTTGTAAAGATGTGGTTAAGATGATGTGGCGATGGTATAATGTTACTTTTCTTGTAGACATGTAGTGACCATAATCCTTGGCCTTACCATATTCTACACACCATTCCAGCCTACTCTATGTACATAACTCACGATAACAGGAATAGCACCTACACAAATTCCATTAGAATCAGTAGCTCACAATCAACAATATAAAGAACTTCATACCTATCACATTATAGATGGAAAAGGGATAACATGCATCTTGGTTCGAAGTCTTTAAAATCCATTGATGGGAAAGTGTGACATGCAAGATGAATTCCAAGATCTCACAAAGAATCACACTTGAGATTTTGTTCCAAACTCATATAGGGTTAATATTTTATTTTGAAATAGTCAACCATATATTAAAAAGAAAAACAAAAAATGCATTAGTAAGATGCTAGAGTAAACCAATTACAAAAAATTCATGGGGTTTTGCAACCAATTAACCCAATACATAGTGTATTTTATATTCCTATTCAAATACCAAAGAAAAGAAAATCCTTTGATGGAATCAACAATATCACTCTGTCTCGTTTTTCATGTTACATCAAGTTTATTATTTTTGAACCTTCAAATATACCAAATACTAGTACACACAATTGCGTCCAACAAAGTCTGTTTTTTTTCAAATTTAGAGACGAATTATCAACAACAATGAACTACCCATATATGGTTAATATCATATGGATATTCGCCATAAGTTCAACTCGGATGCCTCATTTGAACGACACAAAGCACGCCTTGTCTATGATGATCGTGGTAAACAAATTGGATTTGATTGTGATGGAACTTCCAATATGGTTGTCAAACCCACCATGATACACATTTCCCTTGATACCACCACTTCATTATCATGTCCCATTTATCAACTTGATAGAAAAACGTTTTCCTTCATGGTAATTGTTGAGAAATATTATTATTTCTTAATATTATTCAATCTTAACTTGAAAAGGAAAAAAACATGAAGTCTTGATCTAACTTGACATGGTTAGTGCAAGTTTAAAGTGCAAAGTATTATTGAAATAGTGGTTGTTGAGTATTTGATCAGAAATTGAAGGATTGTGATGCAATATACAAAAGATGGAGGTTACGGGAGCTAACTTGTGAAGTTGTTGGACAAATTGAAAAGGTCTAATAATCAGATGGGTTATATCGTAATATTTGGAGTTAAATTGATGCGGATCAATTAGGGTTTACAGATATAACCGCACTCTCTGTCAAAAAAATATTATTCAGTTCAACTACTATACACATAAATCGTCTCTTCTCATATTTTCTAAGTGTATTGTTGTAACCTTTAAGGCATATATTCAGTTGTTCTTAGTTTCAGATTAACTCTTGAGTGATTAGAATAGTATTGAGAGTAATTTAGGTGGTTTGTAGTGATGATTTTTCTTGTAAGAATATGTGAGAATAGAATTGAGAGTAGTTTAGGTGGTTTGTAGTGAGAATTTTTCTTGTAAGAGTACGTGAAAACAATTTGATTCTTTGATTCAATAAGAACTGATTATGTTGGGAACAAGCTATTGAGTTTCTTCATAGTAATATTGAGTTTCTTCACAGTAATATTGAAATTGATATCCATTTTCTCTGCAAACAAGTTGCAAAAGGGCGAGCGTGTATATTACATGTACTGTATATTACATGTACCTTCTCGTTATCAAATAGTCTCTTTAAAAATTTTACTTAAATATTATCACAACAATTTTACCACCTACTCCTCCAATTAAGGAGATGGATTAGACATATTATTAATATTCAAGTCTATTAACAATAGCATTAAGTTATATTATTATGAGATTATTTTATACCTTCCAATTTTTTCAAACTTTTACCATCCTTTTCAATCTATAAACTAAGGTAATTAAATATTAGCTTCTTAAGAGACCTTCAACCTTTCTTACCCATTTAATTTTACAAAGTAAACAAGTCTTCAATGAGTTTTAACAAAGGAAAACTTTTTTAATATAATAACAACTGTAATTTATAGAACCAAACAAGTGAAAAAATATAAGATATACAATAACACATGTGAGAAGAATTATTTACATTTTACTTTTTACCCTTCTCTTAACCATATGACTTGGGTACTGACAAATGACAATGATAATAATTTATTTAGTAGCCAGACTCATCTAATCACCTTATCCATAAGTATGCTTTATTTTGCATTAATAAGGGATATCTTTTGGACAGAATTATGCATTAATCTAAGTCCCAAAAAAAACTTCAATTTTTTCCTACCCTCCTATTTCTTTAACAATTGCCATCCTTTTCAATCAATAACACCAAGATAATCAAATAATACAACATCAAGAGACTTTATAACCCTTCTTGACCATTTCATTTCAAATTGTTATCAAGTCTTCCTTGAGTTTTGACTTTTGAGATTAAGCCAGAAATGACATTGTTGTCAATGGAACAAAAACTGTAATTTCATTATCGCACCCCATATAATAAAAAAATAAGAAAAGAAAAGACATGTGTTCTCATCTTTTGTATATGTAGAAAGACAAAAATACCCTTTTCACCCGTCAACCCTCTTCCCAAACTCAAAATGCAAGAGTCAAAACACACACACACAACCTAATAGCACAAATATGGGGCTCTTTGGTAAAAAAAATTATTCATATACAAACTGAACATCAACATGAATGTATTTTCTCATAAGTTGAACAATGGAAGAAGTAAAACTCGCCAACATATGACACTCTACATGTGTTTTAGACTCTGAAACAACTCCATGAATAATCAACTTCTTCAATCTCCCACATCTTCTAAGCAAACACTCGACCCAATCCACAAAATGTTCATCAAGAATCATCCATCCAAGATCCAAAACACTCACATTCTCAAATTCAGATTCACCCTGCAAACTATAATGAAGAACACCTTCTTTCAAATCATCTCTCAAATCATAACTCAATGCAAGATACCTCAAATCCGGAAAACACACAGCAATCGACTCCAAATCAACAAACTCAACTTCATCATCAAATACCACGTTCCAGAGACGAAGGGTTTTCAATTTTGAACATTTTGAGATTATTTGGTAGAATTTTGACCAAATTACTGTGAAATTGCTGACGTCGACTACTTCAAGGTCGTCTACAGGGTCGAAAATGTCGAGATGGAGGATACTTACATCGTGCATTTTGAATTGCTTTAAAGTTCCCTTTCCAGAAAGCTCAAAAAGCTCAAATGCGCAATCTTCGAGGTGTATTTTCTCCAGGTTGTCGGCTTCTAGACTGAATTTGTCTAAGCTTATGGCTTTCACGTAAACTTTCTTCAATGTCTGACTCGTCAATTCGACTGTTACTTGAGCATCGGTGATGGCGATTTCTGGATTTATGAGCCCTAAAAACTCGATCTTGGGGCAAGCTGTGAGGAGTAGATTCAGATCTAATGATGAAATACTGACGTAACTTAGAGAAAGGGATTTCAGAAAAAGGAATCTTTGGTAATTTGGTTCAACCCCAGTGATTGAATTATGAGCTAGAGCTAATAGTTCGAGCTTTTGTCGACCACAAATGTCGAGAATGTTTACATTTGGAGTTGTACGGACGTTGTAAAAGAGGCAACGCAAGGTTTCTCTGGTATACATCAGCCATCCGATGACGGCAGAAGCTGAAAATTCGTCGACGTCGTCCATTAAAATGGAGAGACCTTGTAATCCTTTGGTTTGGAAGATGGTTTGGGTGATTAGTATTTCGAGTCTACTGGTTGTGAGATCACGGAAAACAGGCCAGTCGTCGGAGTTGAAGGAGAGCATATGAAGATGCCGGTGACAAGCTTCTCGCCATTTTTTACATGTCGTGGAAGCAATTACGACGTCTCTGGCAGCTCCGAGACGGGAGAGTATGTTGCCGATTACTTCGACAGGAACATGATCCATAGAAAGAATAATCTCGGGTATGAAGTATGAACCCTAATTCTAAAACGGGAAGAAGCTAAGAACAGGGGCTATGATTATCAATAGCATTCGAGAATTCGAGATTATCACTCCGAATAATAAGAATTGCACAATTGACCCAATTCGATAAATAATGATCACATTGAAAAACCCTATTCAACGAGAAACTATTGATACACATTGAAGAATGTAGGTGTAGAAACAAGAACGAAGAACTTGATAGGTGGGTTAAGGATATTTAATTTGATTACTGTATACAAACCCATATATACAATTGGAAACTACAGAATAATTGGGGGAAAGAGGTACCGGAGATGATGAATGGAGATTGGAGGGTAAGGTTTCGATAATCAACAGGCGACGGCGATCGGCGTTTCTGCAAGTTGGTTGACGGAGAACGGCGGCGGACATCGGAGTCGGTGGGGATCGGCAACGATCGGTTTGGTCGGTTGTGCAGATGGATTAAAGGATCCGACCAATACTACGCATGGTAAACGCCAAATACTCGAATACTATGAAACTGATCATTGATAAAGATAAATATGTGTAATAAAATGTTATATTATTGTGATTATTATTATTTTATCAATTTTATTGTTTTCATCTACACAACTTACCAAAAGTCTAAATGTTTATAACATTTTCTTCACTGAATTATTGATCTCATTATTCTCTTGTATTAAATTGATTATTTATACTAGTTAAGTAATCATAAGAAAAACTATTTTATAGAAAGAATATCGACATTGTAGCGATTATTGGTGATTTTATATTGGTTAATTTGAACAAAATTAAAGAAAAAAAATATATAACTAATACCATTTTTGTCTATATAGTTAAATATTACTGATAGATCTTATTGTTTAAATATGTAATACCAAAATATAGTGGTGTATTTACCTACAATATGCACATGGTTACTTCAAATATGAAACATGCCCTAGAACTTTGCCGGACTTGGGTCAATCAAAATTTTAAAATTCACTAGAACTAGGAGCAGTTATAAGAAATTAATCGAGAAGAGATTATGGTGATCCGGACATGTCCATGGAAGCCATATAGAAGTATACAAAACAGATCTCAGGTCGATGCATTCTTTTTTGGGTCTTTGGCAAGACCAGTTTGATCTTGCGGTCCTTGTTTTCATTTTTTTCAGTTTGGATTCGTGTCTTTCGGTCGGATTTTGGCTTTTACTATTCGACATCATTTTTTTCCGATATGATGATGATGTTAATTGAATGAATTAATTTAAACACAAGGATGATGTTTGATGTTTAATAAATACAATGATAGATGTTTTTAATAACTAAGGAATTAGACTAAATATAAGGATGATCTTTGTTGTGAAGAAAGAAGTCATCCCACGTCGAGAAGAAAGAAGGAGGAGAAACTTGTGATTAAAACAGAAGGACTTAGCAATTTGTCATCGACGTGCTCGCCTGTTAGGGACGTTGAGTTTCATTTAGGCTTCGGCTTAAGACCGATGGATAACTGAACATGGGGACCACGATTGGGTATTTTGATATCAGGGACCGACTCACACTAACTTGAGACCGCTTTAAAACCGATTGATAGTTGAACAAGGGGACCGACCTGAGGCCGTATGTTTAGATCGAAATCAGACTGCTCAGTCTTAGACTAGACCGGTCCTGGTCCTTGATCAGGACCGGTTTAGGTCCTTTTTTTTAGGCCAGTCTAAACAGTCTGTCGATATCCACATCTGATAAGATATTATGAAGTTAGACTAAAATGAGTTAGAATTATGAAAATATAAATTTAGATAAGAGGGTGTTTAGAAGTAGTGTTAGTCACTAGCTTCATTTTAAATGTTGTCCTTGCCATGTAGGTTTATCGTTTTACTATGGTTCCCCTATAATTTTAGCTTGTATTGTTAGAACATGCTTCATGCTTTACTGTGCAATACTTACTCACTTATTACCATTGCTTGTATTGTAATTTGTTCCCATTTCATATGCATGAAATCACCTAGTTTGGACTTTGGACTTACATTCTTTTAAATATCTAATATATACAGAGCAAATTAAGATATTGCAACATGAATTTTATAAATTAATCAGACCAAAATTCAAACAAATCATGAGAATTACCTTCTCTTCAAAGTTGAAAGATCTAATTCTGGGAATACCACAACCAGTTTGTCCCAAAAAATATCAGCACTTATTATCAAGATTCATACAATTTATCCTTTCAATATCCCAAAATAGGATGAACAAAATAAAAATCACATTTGATGCCCACTTCATTCAGTTGGCCTCTGTCCCAAAACAGAAATATCCTCATACCGTTTCTGCATAAATAGAATATCTCTAAAATATTAGATTCAAAAAAATAAGAAATCACAATATTTATCATACAAAATAAAAAAACTGGACATTACCCCAACATTGTTATTCTCCCAGAGTTTATGAACTCCATAGTCAACTGCCTGAAACACATAAATCATAACAACTCCATTACTCAATCACATTATTTTGTTATCTTTCTTGATAATCACATGTAAGTCACTAAACCACCATTTTTACGGCACCATTCTTATACAAACTCAATTTGGTCATTCATCAGTCATCTTGAGTTTGAGGGGTGTTAATATGTATAGTTAAACAACTCTCATTTAAGTCATTTATGTTGATATCCCATTTGTAATTTCCATAATCAAAGGCAAAACCATATGGCACTGTATGTCAAAACCCTACATTTGTTCCCCAAAATGTTCCTCCATTGTAATCATCAAGGCAATCAAGGTAGTTTCAGCTAAAAGTTGTTTTTTTTTCCTTAACCTAAAATCATAGATTCAATGCTATAATATGATATATCTATCTTTACAACGTATTAAGATGTTTATTTCCTTAATCTATAGGTCAAATCTATGAATTAGTTCCTAAACGCAGGCAAAATGCTTTGCTCAACGTTTCGAAATTCTAAATAACATGGATGAGGAAGATGAGATGGAGTCAGACGTTGGGGAAACAAAACAAATCGATTAAATTAGGATAAAGAAAGTGATTCATAGATGAAAGTTAATAATCCACAACAAAATCAGATCTAGAGCGACAACATGAAGGATAATCCACTCTATGGACATTAAAAATTCAAACCTGAGAACCTGATTAATCTAACGGAAAACAGAATCGAGGAATATGTATGCGTATGTGTAATATATATATATATATATATATATATATATATATATATATATATAAGATTAGAATGGATCGGAACCCTAACCCGTTCACCGACGAAAGCACCGGCGATAACGAAAGTGACGTAGACAGAATTACGGCGCATAAGGACTTTGTATAGTCCTTCGAATAGTCCTCCGGTTCTCCGAGCTGCCGAACTCATGGCGACGGTGTAATCTCTTCCTCTTGTTGACGGGATCGGAGCAGAAATGGTGTTGGGTGTTTGTGTTTTGGCTGGTCTTAGGTTACTCACGCTGCCTTTTGTTCGTGGCAATTTGGTATGAACCCGAACCGGATCCGTTCCGGATCTATAGCTTAAGAACTTAATTGGACCTACGACTTGAAGGTATGTAAGTTTTATATCCTGAAAATTAATTTCTGTAGTTTTTAATAAACTAAGATATAAAATAAGTAGGTTTAATATACAAGAAGGTTACGAATTTTACAATAAGAGCATTCACAATTCGTTAAGCTTTCTCGTTACATCCTAACACTAACTTATTGATTCAGAAAAATAAATAAAAAAAATATCTACAATAGTATGTTATAGTATATAGGCCCATATATGTATGTACCTTTTTGTTATGTTGTATGTCCGATCCATGAGGTTCTCGTTACATCCTAACACTAACTTATGTTGTATGTCCGATCCATGAGGTTGCGTTGAGAATATGATTATGAAAAAAAAAAATATATCATATCTAATATGGTATCAAAACAATAAAGGATTTACCTAAATTTTTCTCTCATATTAACAATATTTTCTTCCTCTTTCATAGATGTTCCTGCTTGACCGATCCCACCTCACGACTCAAACCCTACGAGTTGTCATCTCTCATATTTGTTATGGTTGTTACTTCAAAACCTTTGAAAAGCCCTTTGATATCACCAATATCAAAGCATGTGTTCCACTCATGTTTGATTTGAATTAACTGAATTACGATGTCCGGAAGGAATTGTCCTGAAACACATTATATAACATTTGGAGTACTCGATCGTTCGTTCACGACACCCATCGAACCCAATGATGCATGAAAGAAACTTGACTCCCTAGTCAATTTATGGATATACATGACTATCAGTAAGACCCTTAGACGATACTTAAGAAGGGCGTATCGACTCACAACGTTTGGAAAAGTCTTGAGAACTTGTTTCAGGACAATAGGGATGCATGAATTGTGCAACTCGAACATGAACTTTACACAATCGCCATTAATGACCTCTCTTTCGCTAACTACTGCCAAAATCTCAAGACGACATTGCACTTGTTGGCCAACATCGACGCTCTAGTATCGAAAAATGTGTTAATTTCCTACATGATCAATAGATTTTGCGAGAACTATCAAAAAACTCACATAATAAGGAGTAAGTTGTGCTCTCTTGAACCCCGTTATAAGGTTTTACAGATGTTCTAATTTCAAGGTATGTAACTAATATCCTTGTAGGAAGTAAAATATAATGGAATTATAAGTTTGTTTTGTTGTTATAAGATAAGAGGATTAAACTATAGTTATTTCAAATGTATACATAAGGAACTAATGCTGCAAAGCTACAAAGATTTGTTACTTGAATTATGCGACGAGATGAAAGATACACAATCGAAACTGAAGAAAAATGGTTCGAGTTGAAGGAGAAGAAAATAAAGGATAATATGAAGATTGGAGGTCAAATGTTGAAACCGAAAGAACACAAAGATATGTAGTTATAGTTGAAAAACATGAACGAGAGCCTTAGTTTGAAGTATAAAAACATAAGTACATGAATTTAATATTACTTGGGGTTGTTTTAGCAATGATGGTAGTTGATTTCATTATATGTGATATAATATTTGTTTTTGTGTGTGCAAATACATCTTATGGTTTTGTCAAAAGATGATTATTCAAAAGTTTATAATCTTGATTAATGATACTAGAGAATCAACTGATAAATTTTTTTATAATATACTAAAAATTAACTATTACATATTACATTACAATAATTACATAAAAATCCAACATACCAAACAATATATGTTATAAAAAATATAGACTAACTAGAGATGGTACCAGCACATATTAGAAAATGAATTGATATACAAAAACATACAAAAATTTTCTATACATGTTTTTCAAGTGTTTAATTGATCCCATATTAAGTAGTAAACGGATGGTCATCAAACATTCTTTGCAGACGACATGCACAGCTACATGTACATTAATTATTGTAAGCTATTTGTTTGCATTCCTATGCAACAAAAATAATTTGTAATGGGATATTTACTAAAATAACCAAAGGATTACACGCATGTTGGGGCCTTTTTAAGTTGCTCAGTTGTTTTCTCTACAACTACATTAAAAAAATACAAAATTTGTGAGGTTATTACTAATTTAAAGAAACAATACAAAATCAAAGATTATTTATCAGCTTACTTTGATATAATTCATCATATATATGATATACCACCATCTTTATTTGCATTCTCTACATTGTCTTCATCAAATGACATCCTTTATGAATGTTATGAGAATGTTGTGTTTTAATATTTTTGTTTTCTCCATCGTCACATAGTGTATATACTAGATGATAAGAATATTGTGAACAATTAGTGATATCTTTCATGAGCTTTGTAAGTAACCGGATAGACATAATACTAACTAAGAAAAGAGTAAATTCCGCAAAAAGAAAAAATAAAAAGTTTATTTGATGAACGTAAGTTAGCGAGTAGTCCAACATTTTTTCGTGGGGATTACAACTCTTATAAATAAATAAAATTTTGACGATCTTCTAAAATATTTTAGAATCATGTCACTCAATAACTCAAATTACAAATCACTTAAATGTTGTGTTCGTCACGAAGCTTTTGACAGCGTTTGAGAGATTCTAGCTTCTAGCGTTTGACGAAACACTGTATTTTTTACAAAAAAAACTTTGTTTGACACTACAAGCTTCTAGCGTTTATTTTAAACAAAACGCTTCAAATCTAAATGTTAATTCACGTAACGTTTAACAAAACGCTACCAGTTAAACATGATTTAAATTAGGGTCATCATATTTTATACCGAGTTATCCAACATTGTTTCGTGGGAATTCCAACTTTTACAGATAAATAAATTTTGATAATTTTTCTAAAAAATATTTTAATACCATGCTCTTGAATAACTCAAATTATAAACTCTTACAATTGTTTGGTATACCTATGAACAAGTGAATATGTGTTTGATTTTATATAGGTATATATAATATAATTACACCTTTTACAAATCACTTAAAAGCATAATTTAAATTATGGTCATCAATTTTTTTTATACTTGTTTAGTGTTTAGCCACCCATACTCTACAAGATTCCTCTCTCCAAAGATGCAAAACTCTATCCCCCACACTATAAATGATCCCTCCTCATTAGTTTAAACACTTCTCTCGATTCCCTGTTTAGCTGCAGTTCTCTCTACAATCTTCTGTAAGATTCTTCACTAACGCTTTCTTTCTCTTCTAATTTTCCCTTTCATCGTCATCATATATATTCATAGACGATTAATGTAATTATGCTAGTTCTTTTACATCTCGTTGTATTTGTGTATTCGGATTTATGGGATTTCTTTAGGCGTGATTATGCAATTGATGAAATTTTCTACGGATTTAGTTGAATTTGTTTGTTTTCTAGTCGGATCTGATTCGATGACTCGCTTTTTCGACTTATCTCAAATCATCGCTTTCACGGAATATCCGTACACGAGAATGTGCTGAATATCTATGGAATTTGGAGCACTCTCTTTTTTTTAGTTTAATTTTCGTGATTCACATCGATAATACACTGATTTTGATCCTTCAGTTCATCGTTTTGAGGTAAATCTATGTCATGTTCTTCAATTTCCAGAAAGGAATCACAAAAGCTTACATCGCTTTAAACCCTAATTCAACCATTAGGAGTCCTATCTAATCTGAATACTTATATTCGATTCTTTCTACCTTTTGCATTTCTTTCCCCTTTTTGTCAATTGAGTGTTGAACATCCAATTTCTTCATTGTTTGACTGATTAATGTAATTGAACATTGAATTGTCTTCTCAAATATTGAAGCTTGATGTTTTTTTTTTCAGGTAATCATGTCGTCCATAATTCTTTCTACACCATCCATGTTTAGAACTGCACCTCAAAGCTGCATTCCACCTTCTGCTACATCACTTCCAAAACTCCAATCATGTCTTCCATCACTAAAGAGCATCTCAAAAGCTTTTGGATTGAAATCCAGCCAATTTTCAAGGACAACTGCCATGGCTACATACAAGGTGAAGCTCATCGGACCAGATGGTGATGAAAACGAATTTGATGCACCTGATGATTGCTACATCCTTGATTCTGCTGAAAGTGCAGGGGTTGAGCTTCCATATTCGTGTAGAGCAGGTGCTTGTTCCACGTGTGCTGGAAAGATAGTTGCAGGTTCTGTTGATCAATCCGATGGATCATTTCTTGATGATAATCAAATGAAGGAAGGTTATGTTTTGACTTGTATTGCTTACCCTACTTGTGATTGTGTGATTCATACTCATAAAGAAGCTGATCTTTATTGAGTTTTTGTAGCTGTGTGTCTTTGTTGTGTACAATCGAACTTTTCTTTGCATTTTAATTATCAAATTGTAGTTTGTGGTGGTTTATGATGCTAGAAAACTGAAGAAATTTTTTTTGTGGTTGATGGATTTTGAAGTCTTGATAAAAATATGGAGTTTGAAGTCTTGATATTTTAACATGAGAATTTGGTTTTGGGCCAATATTGTGGTCAAAGTTTAAATGGAATTGTTTCATTGGGCCAAAATCTTGAACATTTGTTTTGTCCTTTGGATTGGGTTCTAGACTTCTAGAGGTGAACAAAGGCCCAATTATGGAGTTTGGACCAGGCCCAATCCGTACAAGGATTATCAACTCCAACTGGTGTTATGTAATATGTATACCTAGAGGTGCACATTTATTGGTTTTGGTTTTTTAAAATGGGTTCGGTTTTTAATTGTTTTTTTTTTTTAACGTTTCGGTTATAATCGATTTGGTTTTTTCTGTGTTATTGAAGTGAAATTGAGTTAAAAAAAACCTGGTTTGGTTAGGTTATAATCGAAAAACAGGTTTCAAATATTATTATACGCAAATTTGCGTTGCCACTTAGAAAAAGTAGATAGGTTTTAGACGGATTTTTTTTGTTCTGTTTGACACCTGCTTCCCTTACCATTCTCCTTCTTTCATCTCCTGCTTTCTGTCTTCATAGCACAATGGAGAACCACAAAGTGATTCATTTTTGCCCATCTAAACCTTGAATTTTCGTTTGATAAATTTTTTGCTCATCTACTTCACCCACATCCTTACTGGATGGATGGTCGACACTGATCTCATTCAACCATCAATTTCCAGGTTGCTATAGTTGGCTTGTGTCTCTCCTCATTCTCTATTTGATTATGGCTCCACCGATTTCATTAAACTGTCTGATTTCCTGTTTGCTTTAGTTGGAAGAGAAGCAAGGCAACAACGCCTTTTTGCTGTTATCGGTGGTGTTGTTTACGCTGCCGAAGAAGGAGGTGATCGCTTCAGTAGTTGAAGTAAACATCTATTTACCTCTTTGAATTTGGTTGCTTCGAAAAATTAGGTTTTCTGGGGACGCATTAGCGCCGACTTCTCACCTTCACATCCCAGACTACAACCATTTATGTTTTATATTATTAGAATTAAATTGCATGAAAATCAACTAACATTAATTTTCAAACTATTTTAAAAAAGTTAAACACTTAAAAAATGATTAAGTTTTCATATTCATAGTATGTAATTATTGTAATTTCTATAGTTCGTTGTATAAACGTCAATAATTAATATTATATACTAAAACCCATTAAAAATATTTGACATGAGGGGGGTAAATGATTTTTTTTCATAAGGCTTCCCATTGAGGTTAGAAAATACGTTGAAAGTTTATGATTATAACATTTTCATTAAATAGTGTCATTTTCATTAAATAGATTTTTAAGGAAGGGTGCGCTGCGCCTCCTTATGGACGCGACACGCCTAGCCTGTATTTTGCCAAAACTTTTCGTTTTTGTTGCTTTTTTAGTATAAATAGCCCCCCATTTGAACCCTAGTCGACTGGGAACTCGTCAGAAATAGTTCTCAGTCGACTGGAAACGATTTTTGAGGTAATTTTTCTTTGTTTTCATCACTTTCTGAAAATCTGAAGGTTGTGGATCATCTCATTCAATTAGTTTAGTAAGATTAGCCGTTTAATTCTTCTTTTTATTGTTCTAGACTCATTTTTAGCCATGTATGGCTAAACCCTAGATTTCAGTTCTACAAGATTAGTATTTTTTATGTAATCAATCATTAGATTTGGTTTTTGATTTGTGATTCTATCTAGTTATTTTAGTTTTGATCTTAAGGCATGTTTGGGTTAGCTTTTTTTTTTACCACAAAAATGATTTTTAAGAAAAGTGTTTATTAGCTTATGGCTTTAAGAAAAACTGTTTTTAAAAAATGTTTGGATAAGAAAAGCTGTTTTTTAGGAGTAAAATGGCTAAAAATCTAAAAATCTAGGATTTTCCAGCTTTTTAAAAGCTTTATTTTTTTTCTATCTAAAAAGCTGTTTTAAAAAGCACTTTTTAAATACAAAAACACTTGTTTAGCTTATTAGCTTTTTGAAAAGTTAGTAAGCTTTTTTCAAAAGTTATCCCAAACACTCACTTAATGAATGTTTGATTTTAGTTCTTTTTAGTTTGATCATTTAATTTAGGATTAAATCATTCTAGTTAATCAGGTGTTGAAATTTGTTATTGTTTTGATAAACTGGTAATAAGTAACAAGTAACAGATCGGTTCCATGTTGGGATTTGACTTTGTTATAAACTAAAATTCCATATTTTTACACTTCCGGGCTTGTGAGAAGTATTGAATATTGATGAGAATTTTACACAGATCATAATGCCGCTTTTCTAATTTGATTAAAGGCGTGTTTAATTAAGTCAGTAAAAAGTTACGGTTAATTGAAAAGTTTGTTTTGGTTAATTAACTAGGTAAAAGAGAACTTACTATAGCTTGTTAATAGTTTTCAGTACCAGCTTAGATAGAACGCACTTTAAATAACAATGTTTGTGTTGATTGCATGATTAGGAAAGTTATAGCCGAATTGAATTCGCTTTTTCTTATTAAATGTTCTTTAGTTATTTTCACTTCTATTTTAGTTTTAATTAATAAACAAAATCTCCCTTTTATACTTTTTGTTTTATGACCAGTATGTGTCTTACGCAAAGAGGCATTGACTTTTAGGTTTGTTCATGTGGATTCGACCATACTTCCATATGTTATCCTTTAGTGCATTCGAGCAATAATGTTTTATTTATTTAAGACCCCCGCCACAATGTCCTAATAATGATTATGGATATGATATACGTAGTTCACAAAAAGTGTTATATGAAACGCCTCAATGATATTCGGTAAGTTATTAAGTTGTGAATATTTGTTTTATGTATTAATTTGTGAATATGTGAGTTATTAAGCTATGAAAGTGTATTTTTTTATGCAGTAAGTTGTGAATTAGTGTCAGAAATATTGAATTAAGTTGTCAATTAGTGTCTTAAATGTTGTACTAAAATTATGAATTATGGTTTTTTTATCCAGATCCGATTTTTGAGGGAAAGATGTTGGCAGTGTTAACACCGATGGTTGGCAGTGACGATGATTGATGACATCATATGGTAGTTGGTAATGTTGATGTTGGAGGTGGTGATAGAGTAATGATATGTTTTATTTCTTGACATAAGTTATCCTCTTTTATGATTCATATATATGTTTTTTCATTTGATGTTTGTATATGAAATATGAGATAATTTATGTATGTATTAAAATGTGAATGAGCGGTTTAATACAATGAAATTTGAGATTATACTTGTAAATGAGTTGTGAATGTGTTGTATTAAATTGTGGATTTTGTGTATTAAGCTGTGAATTTTATTCACAACTTAATATAATAAATTTATAATTTAATACATAGAAATGCCTCCAGATATACATATATACATATAAGTTTGAAGTTGAGAATATGGCTGTAAATATATAATTTTTGTGTATTAAATTTGAATTTATTGTATTAAGCTGAGAAGTTTGTATATTAAACTATGAATTGATTTCATTAAGTTATGAATTGACTGTATTAAGCTGTGAATTTTTTATGGATTTTGTGTTTGATAATGAAATAAAAGAAGAAAAAGGCATTACACACACACACACACACACATATATATATATATATATATATATATATATATATATATATATATATATATGATTTTCTCTAATTTTAAATAAATTATATAAAATTTAAACTATGAATATTATGTAAGTTAAACTTTGAAAGAAACACTAGACTCCAAATCTAAATGTATAAATGTAAGTTTTAAGTTAAGAATATGACATTTTTGTGTATTAAATTGTTAATTTTTGTATTAAGCTGTGAATTCTATGTATTAAATGGTAATTAAATATATTAAGTTGTGAATTGACTGCATTTTGTTGTGAATTTTTTTTATAAATTTTGTGCTAAAATATGAATGATTTTTGTATTAATTTTCTTTTGAATATATTAATTTTTTGTGTTGTATAAGTATGTAAGAATACATTACCTTTTATAATTGTGTTGCATTAAATTCAAAATGAGTGAATTAATAGGTTTATTAAATTATGAATATAATTTTTAAGTTGTCAATGCATGACTTTATATACATATCTGATTTGGAAGAAAAGATGGTTGCAACACTAGCATAAGTGGTTGATGGTGACTTGTGGTGGTAGTGGTGGTGGTAGAGTTTGGGTTTGACTTCTCTAAATTTATAAATTAGTATAAAATGAATAGTAATAAGTTGTGAATTTTGTATATTAAATAGTAAATGGCTTATATAAAGTTGTATTTTATATAAATTTTGTATTAAAACATGAGTGAATGTATGAATAAAAATACTACACTATAAAAATTAAGATTTTGCTATCTTTTTAACAAAAAGACAAAAATCTGGATTTTAACATATTTAATAATATTCACAATACATATTTACTTATGAAATGGGGTCCCAGGGTCTTAAGATTCCTAATATTTTATGGATCATATTTTAACCAATATATATATATATATATATATATATATATATATATAATTGAACAAAAATTGTAAAAAAAAATAATAATATATGGGGCAAATTAGTAATTTTATTTTGTATAGGGACCAAACCCATGATTACACCCTATTATAAGGTTGTTTTTTTTAAAGAAATTTTGTTAAGAAACGGATACAAATGAAATAACAAACCACATGACCAATTCTATAATTTACTCTACAACATAAAATAGCAAATTGCCAAAAGACCAAAAAAAAAAACAATATTTGATTTTAACACCGTATATTTTTTACAATTAGGACACTAAGCTTCCATTAAAGTTCGATTTTAAAACTACATTTCGAATTTGTTTTAATATTGACCATTTGACTGGCAGTTGTCAGCCAAGATGTTAGTTTTTTTATGATGTGGATCTGACATGACATGATGACATAACACTTTTTGATGACATAATTTTATGGGTTTCAATTTTTTTTTTAAAATGGAATGGCTTAATTAAAAAAACATAATGTCAAAATCAAACTTTCCTAAAAGCTTAGTTTCTTTTATGAAATATGCCTATATTATAAGATAATAATCATGACTTGTTGGAGGACTAAAAACCCTTTGTAGGCAAGCTATGGCGCAAAACGACAAAACAGAATTGGTGTTTACACATGTAGTGTTTTCCGTGTAATTGTCAAGCCTCTAGTAAGATTGTTCCAATCACGGAGCCTGACTATGCCATTTCTCGTGAGCTCTTCCCTCATTTTTTTTTGTTTTATGTCCCTCTTTGTTGGAGTTTGATCTTCAAGTTAAAGTTAAATTGTGTTAGCTTTGCTACGATGTTTAATTTGTCAAATTAGTTCTATTTGATGGTGGTGGTGTTTTATTTCAAATTATCATCGTTGTGTAAGAATGTTCAAGTGACTTTCTCCATGGGCGCACTTGTAAGTATGAACGAGTTCTTCTAGTTTTTTTGTCCATGCAGTCATGGTTTGGTAATCATATTCTTTTCAAAATAATTTCGCCCCTTACATATTTATTATAACAATTAATACCTAGACTTTGTAGCCTCAAATGGTGGTCATCGGAACTTCCTGTCTTAATATTTAACTTGTTACAAAATTCACAACTTGAAACAACACTTATTTTCATATCATCTTTCATTTCATCCAATAAGTTTAAGACATCCACAATGCATTATTCTTTAGAATTCAATGAATATGCACATGAAAATTGTTCTATAACACATTGAATTCCTTAGAGTCTAATTGATAGACATTGAGATTATGACATTGTATTTGTAGAGACAATTTTTGTTTTGTTGCTTTATCCAAAAGCTTGCCCACAAAAGGCCTTCAACTCTCCAACAAGTCCTGATTATTATGTTATTGTAAGAGCAAATTACACAAAAAATACTAAGTATTTAGAAAAGTTGGATTTTAACATTGTGTTTTATTAAGTCACTACATTCTTTTTTCAATTTTCACACCTACGACTGATGTCACAAAAAAAGAGTCATGTCATCATGTCATGCTAGCACCACGTCATCAAAGACCGGTATGTCACAATGTCATGTCAGTTGGTATCTGGATTGACTGGTCAAATGGTCAACATTGAAACAATTTGAAAAATATAATATCAAAATCAATTTTTTATGAAAACTTAGTGTCTTAATTGCAAACAAATAACACGGTGTCAAAATCGATTTTTTATGAAAACTTAGCGTCTTTTATACCATTTGGCATTTGCTCTATAAAATAAGTTAAAATATTAATTTTTCTTTCTTGTAAGCACTAAAGTATAGCTAAATTTATCTATATATCTTGTAACAATAACAATTGGTAATATATAAGTTTGATAACCTTGTATTTAGATTTTTTTTTCTAAAAAGAAATTGGTGTCAACTTGATGAGATCAATAAGAAAAAGATTAAACAGTTAATTGTCTTAAAAGTTAGAAATATGGTTAGGAACCTAACATTCTTTTATCTTCTTTGTAAACTACCTTCCATTGTAATTAAAACATGAAACCATTTGTTTTCCACGGAATCCACATTTTTCCCTTGTGTGTCTTTCTATCATCTTCAAATTACAAAAAGAAAAAATAATGGTAACACGTGGCTGTGGCTTATGAGGATCATACTCCAACAAAAGAATGACGAGGATCTGATCGAGGTTCTTAGATTAAGAATAAAAAAACACATTACGACAAAAGAATAACGAGGCTGTTAAGATAAGGGAAAAAACGTACAACAACAAAAGAGAATTGGATGGATCTTATTTTTAGGTTAAAAGGAGCATTGTCATAGACGTCATGTCATTTTTGCTACTAATTTTTTTCATAAGGGATGGGTTGCATTACATGTTGATGCTTTTTTGAATTATTCGGAAAAAAAAAACAAACATGAATTTTGGACTTTTTCTCTCAAATGCAAGGGTTAACAAGAGAGCTTGTTGAACTCGCCATGTTAAAGCCAAAGGGGGGTGTATGCCGCAGTCACGCCCTCTATATGTAATTTGGTTATAGATAAATGTTAGAAAAGTAGTTATATTTTGGACATCTTTATAGAAACCATTTATATATTACTATATTAGACCTATTTAGAAAAATCCTCACTCATATAACAAAGTTACCTAAATTATTAGCTATAGAAGAATATTAGGAGTTTAGGACGGTTTCAAACATATGTTGGGACACTTAGACCACATAAGAGAGAGAAAAATGAACTCTTAAAAAGAAATTTTTCTGCAAATATAAAATACTTCTTTTAACCCTTTTCATATACAAAATCACTGATAATAGATAATATATTCCTAGAAGCTGCCCTTTCATTACAAATATGTTCTTTTAGATTAAGTTCACCATCTTTTAGAAGTTACCCTTTCATTGCAAGCTTTCATCATATTTCGTTAATTGACATTTATCATCAAATGCCTTACAAACAATACTTTAACATGCATCATGACAAGCTTTACAAAGAACTAATTAACAATTTTTGTGATGTCACATACTCACATGAAAAGCTTCTCAAAACTAATCATCTCTTTAAACTCTCATGCTTACCACATATTTCTAATCTTTTAATTTGATCAAAAAAATCTTAAGAACTATGTATAAACATGAGGACTTATTTGTATAAAATCACCACAAAAGAACAAGGAAGAAGTAGATGTTGGAACTTTGTTCTTTAGAAATAAAGCATGTAAGATTTGTATAAATATGAGGGCTTAATTGTGTAGAATCGTCAGACAAGCATGTTCATATAAAAAAGAAGTAGATGTTGGAACTTTGTTTTTTTGGAAATAAAGTATGTGAGAGTACTCGTTTCATATAGGAAAAGGAAGAATTTTTTCTCGAGCCTTTATGTTAGTACCAAACAAAAATGGATAAAGTTTGAGTTAAAGAGATTGGGTTTAAATCAAAAATATACTTGATTATGCTTGGATTAGTATATAATCACTTGTACTTATAGATTAATTTATGGAATATGTTAAACGTAATTCTAATATGGTAATAACCTATATTCTTGAAATGGAGATACATAGTATTTTTGACTATCATTTTGTTATATTTTGTTTTGACGTACTTCA